AGGTCCCTTCAACCCAAACCAGGCTGGGCTTCAATGCTAACCCATGGTGAGCCATCCAAGCAGCTGCTTCTTTAGGCATGGCACATGGTTCCGGGGGCTTTCTCCTCTGGATATCTAACAACCCTTCTGCAGTGCAGGGCCCAGCCAACACGTGGAAAAGGGCAGAATCACCGTAACCTCTTTTTCCTTTTAACACTTTTAATTTAGAATGACTTATTATCTGGGAAATCATCCCCCCTTTGCATAAACACACACTCTAATACACTGCAACGAGCAGAGGGGGAGAGGTGGAAGTTTCCATTGACTTGATTTTCTTTCTCTAGCTTATAAAATATCTAAAATGCATAAATAAAATGCTCTGTTGCAAAAATACTGGCAGGATGTTCCGGAGCAGGGCAGGGACTGGGCGTGAATTGAAACACAACCATCCAGAGTGATGTCTTCAAGTGAACCCAGTCTCCATGGGCCTTAAGCCCACAGCCTCCTCACTTGGATAGTTATGTTCTTGTGCAGCGTGACATAGTCTTTTCCCCCCTTTTTTTATTGACCATAGCACGATAGAATGAATCAGGGTCCTGCAGCCACCGCAGTGGATTTATGGAGCTCCGAATGTGTGATGGATAATGCTGAATTCCCTGGGTTTAATGAAACCTGCTCCGTTTATGATGGTGCCATGTGGCAGGAGCCACCTCTGAGCTGTGTCAGGAGGCACCGGTCGTGCCTCTGCCTCCTCTTTGCAAGCCGTGGCTGGAGCCAGGAATAACAAGACATTGGCTTTGTGTGTGTCTCTGCCTCCCTCCTCCTGTCCTCGCTCTTCTTAGCTCTAACTCTCAGGCATCTTGTGGCATCCCCAGAGTGGTGTTAGGTCCTGGTGGGAAATATCACTGCCTACAACCACATAAACTGCAAACGTTGTGGCATGGCTACAAATCCACCCGAGACTGCAGTGATGTGACCACAGGGGCGGGATTTCAACCCTCCTTGTTAGACTAAGTCTGATTTAAATCTACATTTAACTTCTAATCCCCCCTGGCTGGCTTCCTGTGGAATGTTGTTCTGACCATCCAGAAGGCAGAGCATCTGCTTTGCTCTTCACCCACTCGCTGTAGTAACCAGGCTACTGCAGTTGCAGACTTCACATGGGTGTTTTGTAAATCATCTTCTCTCCAGGGAGCAGAAATTGCTGCCTCATCCTATTGCTGAGTTCCCACATGGATGCTGCCTCACAAGCAGATAACAATAATAATAAATAATAATAATAATTCTTTAGTACTGTGGCTGGGTTGAAGAATGGATGGGTGATAGCTCCTGCACTGCACAAGGGCTGGGTCAATGATGATAATCAGAGGGGATGCTCATGGTGTCATTCTCATTCCAGGTGCTTTGCCAATAAGCTTCTGGGGCTGCTCCAAAACCTTTCCATGGGTTGTCACAGCACCTCTGCAGAGGTCTATAGACAAACAATTACCCATGTAACAGAAATGAGCAGGGTGTACAGACAGTGGCAGATCTCGCATGGTAAGGACTGAAATCAGGTGTCACAGTGCCACTGCCCCATTGCTTGGACCAAAGTCATGGCTTGCTGGTACTCTGAATCTCTCCTTTCTAGAACTTGGATGTAGTAGTAAAGATGACAAGCATGTGGAGCTTGGCAGCACCCAGGGTAATACTAGCAGCAGATTTACTGGGCATCATGTCCAGCTCTGGCATTCACTTGTCCTGAGAATAAAAACCTGGGGGATGTGCAGAAAAGATGAACAAAGTCATTTGAGTGCTGAGGGATCATAGAACCATGGAATGGTTTGTGTTGGAAGGGACCTTAAAGCTCCTCCAGCTCCAACCCCTGCCCCGGGCAGGGGCACCTTCCACTAGAGCAGGTTGCTCCAAGCCCCTGTGTCCAACCTGGCCTTGAACACACTGTTCTCTTTCATTACACTTTCAGGTTTAGTAAGTAAACTTGAAGCTACAGATACTGTAAGTAGTAGAGGTGTTTGCTGGGCCAGAGTTGACCAACTGCACACAAACCGCTTGTGATAGACCTGGCAGCAGAGCAGAGCAGAGCAGAGGGGGATCCGGACTTGTGCAGGGCTCTGGCTGGCAGAGCTGGGGTGAGAGCTGGGCAGGAAGGGAAGGGATGCGTTTGAATTGCCTGCCACAAGTGCTAGTTTAAGTATTATTCCTACAGTTTCCAGAGGAAGGTGAAGTTGGCAGTGTTATCACTCAGCACTCGTTGCTCTCTCCACCTTGAAGAGTCACCCTCATATAAGTCATGTGAATATGATGCTCTCACTCCAAAACCTCCTGTTTGCAAGCTCATGGTGCCTGTTTGCCCAAGTATTGTCCCTAAATTAAGGCACAAACTGATACCAACTCACCTCCAGAAGCATCTTGAGTTTTCCACTGAGCAGCCTTGGCCAAGAACTGGCCAGAGGCAGTTTTGTCCCTCTGTGGTTTTGGCCCTGCAGAACTGGAGCAGGACACACAACAGCATTATCCTACAGGTCTTCCACTGCTGTGGGATGGGAGTAGCCAGGCTCTGCCTGCTTTTACTAACGAGCCTTTTATTCTTCCTTATTTTCTTCTCTGGTGTGATTTTAGGAGCACTTCTGGAGCTTGGACAAGACAGAAAACAAGATCCCGCCACAGCTTATCCTCCAGATCTGGGACAATGACAAGTTCTCTTTTGATGACTATTTGGGTAAGTTGGGAATGTTTTTGGCTTCAACCCCATTGATGCAGACAGGAGGGAAAAAATTATGGAGTCCTCTCAGGATATGAAGGAAGTTTAACAAGACCAGTTTAAGCCACTGAACAGGATTCAGTATCAGGATGAATCTTGGCTGATGATAAGTGGTTTGTATTAGGCAGATCTTGCCCTGCAGCAGCTTGTTCCTGGGCTGACATAATACTGAGAGCATCACTGAATCCAACCGAGCCATCACCTTCCACCAACACCCTCATTCTCTGTGGCTTGTTTGAGTCCTTGTTGAAAGGTGCTCATCAGAGCTGCATGTATTTGAGCTGAGGCCACTGACCTGATTTGAGGATCATTGACCTGATTCTCACCTGACATGAGCACAACTCAGTCCAGTGCTCGCCTCTTTCAGTGCTGGTAATCATGCTCAGACATCGAGGTTTAGGTCAAGAAGAGAATAAACCAAACCCTTCTAATAGCAAGGACAGCAGAGCCATGCAGCACATTGTCTGTGCAGAAGCTGCAGGCTCCAGCATTATGAGTGGGTTTTGGTTGGATCTTGTTCTACCTGTCTTTTTGCCATTAAAAAACCTTCAAACATCAAACATCACAGAGAAAGGAAGTGATCAAGATCCTTTCAGATCCTGTCCTTGATGAATTACTGAGGCTGTGTCAAAATAACCTCTCCAAGGTGGCTCTGCACATAGAATCATGGAATGGTTTGGGTTGTCAAAGAACTTAAAGCTCCTCCAGCTCCAGCCCCTGCCCCGGGCAGGGACACCTTCCACTAGAGCAGGTTGCTCCAAGCCCCTGTGTCCAACCTGCCCTTGAACACTGCCAGGGATGGGGCAGCCACAGCTTCTCTGGGCACCCTGTGCCAGCGCCTCAGCACCCTCACAGGGAAGAGCTTCTGCCCAAGAGCTCATTTCAATCTCCCCTCTGGCAGGTTCAAGCTATTCCCCTTGTCCTGTCCCTACAGGCCCTTGTCCCAAGCCCCTCTCCAGGTTTCCTGGAGCCCCTTTAGGCACTGGAGTTGCTCTAAGGTGTCCCCTTCAGGAGCCTTCTCTTCTCCAGCTGATCAAGCTCAACTTGGCTTGGTGATCCCAAGTGCTGAATTCCTAGGAAGAGCCACTGGCTAAAACTGGCCCTATGCTTGGAAATATGGCTACACTTAAGCCTTCTCTCCCCCTTGCTCTGTGGGGGTCTGCCCAAGCTCCCTGAGGTCAGGAGGGTGCCACAGGGAATATTTCTTTTGGGAATGAATCCACATTATAAGGACTTACTGCACAGGAATGTCTACCTGCTATGTTCCTCCTTGCAGGCTCCATTCAGATGGATCTCAACAGGATGCCCAAACCTGCCAAGACTGCTGAGAAGTGCTCCTTGGAGCTAGTAGATGACACCTGGTCTTTAAGCCACTTTGTGTCACTCTTTGAGCAGAAAACAGTCAAGGGATGGTGGCCCTGTGTTGCTGAGCAGGATCAGAAGAAGATCCTGGCGGTAAGATGGACTCTTGACATGTTCTCTTGGGGAGACTCACTCAAAGCATTGAGGAGGTACGTGCCCAGGCCAGGCACATGCAGGATGTCATGGCCAGGACAAGAAATACAGTGCTGGGCTGCACCTTTCACAGGCTGGACCAGCTTTTGCACTTGGATGTTCTCCAGGACTTGTCCAGCACCATCCAAATGCTCGGAAGAAATGATTTCTTCTGTAGGTTTTTTGCTGTGGTTTTTGGAACATGCCACCTAATTCGACTCTGTATCTCATCTATTAATGACGTTGTGTTGTGACAAGTACCATGGAAAGGTTCCAGCTGGCAAACTGATCTAGTGCAAGTATATGGGCTCCCATTCAAGTCTTTGGCAACTGTTCAATGCAGGTAAGGGAGTCCAGGCAGTGAGTTAAGTCATTCAACATAAGACCTTGGACTTGGTTGCCTGAACTTGGGTGTTGGTGACATTTGAGATGTCCTGAAGTATCTGAGAACGTTGTAGTGGGCAATGAGAGATCTGTATGAAACCTGCTTTGCTGGGTTCCTCATGGTCCTTATTGGTAGTGGTTGGGTTATGCTCAGGGTAGTTTGTCTTTCTCCAATGAGTGTTTTGTATCATAGGTTCATTTCTCACGTCACCCTTTTCTTTTGGGTTGGTTTTGTTTCTAAGTTTGGATTTTGTTTAATCCACACAGGGCAAATTGGAAATGACTTTGGAAATTGTGGCCGAGCAAGAGCACGAGGAGCGGCCGGCTGGGATGGGTCGGGATGAGCCAAATATGAACCCCAAGCTGGAGGACCCCAAGTAAGAGCATCTTGAATGGAAAAGTAACCACTGAGGCACAGAGTTCTCAAGGAGCAATTGAAACTCTGGGTTCCCAGCCTGGGGTCTGCAGTGGGTTTGCTCCTGTGCAGGCTCCATTGCTGAACTGCTGATGCTTGGACTGCATGAACCGAGACAATCCAGGGTGGCTGGGAGGCTGGTCTGCACCCCCAAGGAAGGCATTTGGCATAGTCTACCCAGAAGCGTCAGAATGGTTGGGTTAAAGGGGAGCTTAAATCTCCTCCAGCTCCAACCCCCTGCCCCGGGCAGGGACACCTTCCACTAGAGCAGGTTGCTCCAAGCCCCTGTGTCCAACCTGGCCTTGGATGGGGTTTCTGGGGTGAGCAGCCAGCCCATTACAGCAGGTCATGCTCCTGGAGTTGGGGATCCAGGAGGATGAAAATACTGTGAAACTCAGAAGTGACCTCAACTTTGTTTGGCTCCAGGCGCCCGGAAACCTCCTTCCTCTGGTTCACCTCCCCATACAAGACCCTGAAGTACATCCTGTGGCGGCGGTACAAGTGGGTGGTTATCCTGGCCATTGTGCTCTTCATCTTGCTGCTCTTCCTGGGAATCTTCATCTACGCCTTCCCGGTAAGACGGGTGTGGGAGAAGAACGAGGTTGGCTCTGTGGTGACAGAGATGGTCCCAGTGCAGGTGGCTGCGAAGTGCCACGGTGGTCCCTGAGGGACCATGTGGTCAACCATGGAGGGTCAAAGAGTTTGTGTTTCTGGGCTCTGCTGCAGACTCACTGTGAGGTGCTCACCTCTTTGTGCCCATGTTTCGATTCATGCGTAATGATGCTGAGGTTTAATTGATGGTCTTCAAAGAGGTTCCAGCAGCTGATGCTGGAAATGGTGCCGAAAATCCCTGACAAACATGCAGCCTAATTAGGAATGAACCTAATTCCTAATTAGAATCCCAGAATCCCAGACTGGTTT